CCATCACCGTCAACCTCCGCATTCGTATCAACATCATCGTCATCATCATCAGCATCATCATGATCACCGTCACCATTGCCATCGCCATCGTCATCGTCATCGTCATCGAAACCATCTCCATCGTCGCCAAATCAACACCATCGTCATCGTTAACCGATCCATCATCATCATCAGCATGATCATCTACATCATCATAATCATCAATAGCATCACCACCATCCTCGTCCACATAATCAACACCGGCAACACCAATAGAACCATCACACTCAGCACCTTCAGCATCACCACCACCATCATCATCTTCACCATCATCACGATCACCATTCTCACCATTAACCTCCTCCTCGATCCGCGATCCCCGTCATCCTCCATCCTCGTTTCCTTTTCCCCGCTTCGCCCCTCAAGCCTCGGCGGATCGGGGTCGGATGCCCTCCTGGGCTGGCCCATCAGGTCGCCCTCGCCCCCCCCCCCCCCCCTTCATCCTCACCATCAGGATGGCGGGGGAGGCGCTGGAGGAGGCGGAGGAGGGCGGCGCAGGCGATGGCGCTGAGGAGGCGGGAAAGGGCGAGCACCAGTTCTCCCCATGGGCTACGGTTGTGGATGCCACGACAATGCGCACTCTAACGATCCGATCATTGAACTCAAGATGTGTTCAAAAAATGTGGTCCTGAAACTGTGTCGAACCTGCTTTTTTACATGTTTTAAACATGTTTGAAGCATGTTTTAGACACCTGGAACTTACTTGGCAGCGCGCGTCCTCTCCATGGATCGACTTCCACAAGGCTACGGCGCTCGCCAGGCCCAGCCTGCTCGAGCGCGAGCCCGCGGCCCAGCGCCTCGCCGCGGCCGCCGCCCCCCCCCTCCCCCCGCGGCGGGGAGGCGCGCCGCAAGTGCCGACCGCGCCGCGGCAAGCGCCCAGCAGGTCTCGCTGTGGAGGCGCGTCGAGCAGACCCGCCGCTCGATATTCGGCGCGGGCGGGCGGGGCCCCAGACGGGATGGGCAGGCCCCGCTCGGGGCCTCGAGCCGACGTTCTCACGAACGCCCGAATTTACCCCCCCCCCTCTGCTTCGCCACTCAAGCCCCGGCGGATCGGGGTCGGATGCCCTCCTGGGCTGACCCCGTCAGCCACCCTGCCCCGCTCCTACTCGCGCCGACGCTGCTGGCCCCTGGCCAACGAAGGCCTTCTCCTGCCCAACCAGGCCGCCGCCTTCCCGAGCTCCGCGAGGACCCCCCCAGCACCGCAGCCTCTGGCCCATGCAGCCTGGCGCGCTGCCCCCGCGCACTGAGCCCCAGGAGCTCCTCTGCCGCGGCCCGCCGCGCCTCCTCCTAAGACTGCGGCCGGGCCCGCGGCTGCCGCGCTGCTGGCCACGCCCTGCGCCGCGCCCCTCGCCCCCCGGAGGTGCCCCCCGCGCC